CATAAGTAATGACATTACATAAATCATGTCATTACCAAAATAATATGTATTATCACAATAAATACAACTTTCAAAGTCTGTAGGTCATAGGTTGTACATATAATTATTCGTTATAGAACAAAGCGAAGATTTTGTGGAACTATTATCACTGTTCGTTTGACGGTTTCTTTAATACAACGTTAAATGTAAACTATTCGTTTAAACCACCAGTTGTTTCGGAGATGTAAGTAAGTAATTACTTGTATACCCCTATGAGTAGCAGTAAATTACATGGAAATCAACATTTACAATTACATGAAGGGTGTGTAGGAAGTAAATTATATTGTATACATATAAGAATGCGGGTTTATTACACTTTTAAATACAATAATCGTACATTTCGTTAATGCCGAAATCATATAGAATATCATTACTATTAATATATTTTAGATATAATTGGTTACTATTTACTGTTTATTCTCAAAACAAATTAAACAAAGTTAAAGTATAAATTGACATCCGTAGCACGACCGCCGATTTTGTTATATTATGTGCCAACGGTTTAACGCGCCCTCTGAAGTTTAGGTTAAACTACTAACTGTTTTCCTACGAATAAAAAAATTAGGTTACAGGGCAAGTTGAAATTTCAATGGTCGGATCTTCAAACCTTGACAATGTCATAAATACTTTTACTGAATAAGTAGCTTGGAGGAAATAGTTCTATTCATAAATATATCGAATCGAAACAAATAAGGTGAATCATGGCCCACATGATTCACCGAGCCCATTGCGGATTACCGCAGGCTGGACCAATGACTTAATGTACCTTCCGAAATACGAAGGAGATCGAGATTATATTTTTTCTGGTCACCCATCCTATGACTGGCCTTTGCGAAAGTTGGCTAACCGCTGCGCTTATCGGGCTCCTCATAAATATCTAGTTAATATTATTCTATCATAAATGTATAATGCATCCGTTTATAGCCGTTGTAGTTAAAACGTGTTTAAAATAATGCAGATCAGCGATTACAAATTTGCGTTGTTTGTGATCACAAAAACTTTTTATCTGCTATAGAGATAGTATAGCCTGGTGGCGTAGTGGATAAGCGTGCGACGCTTCGTCGTGTCGTGATCGTCGTTGCTAAGTACCTTTCGCAAGGATCGGTCACGGGATGGGTGACCAAAAAAATATTTTCTCGAGCTACGCCGTGCTTGGGAAGGCACGTTTAGTAACCCAGCTGCTTTGCAGTCGTTAATACCCTCCAATCCATATTGGGCCAGCGCGGTGGGTCATGAATTTTCCTCCTTACCATTCATAAGGAACGCCTGAGCCAACGCAGTGGAGAAGGGCTAATGAAGATAAATATAGAGATAAGCGCGATGACAAGAACACAGATTAGGTATACGTGGTCATATAAAATACTGTACGTTAGACTACCACAATATGTCTAATATCTTGAATTGATTTTGAATCCTCACAGCATTAAGACTTAAAATCAAGTGGAAAAATTTTACAGTTTTGTATAGCCTGCAGTTCTAACTTGCAGTTTTTTGTATATGACAGTGTTGCAATAATCAATAGTGGTATTGTTACGTCCATCGAGCGTTCTAACGCATACTATCAACGGTTCAGTGCATATACGATGAAAGAGTCTTTCACCATTATATATAAATTTGGATAGCAAAAAGGAAGTATTAAAAAAAACATTAGTTCCCGAAATCAAACTAGATGTCGCTACGGTACGTTCTTGATTTTTTCATGACAACCTTTCCGGTTTTCTTTCAAGTTTAAAAGTAAATTAGTTTTCAAAACTCAATAACTTGTGTAGCTAATTCAGGTAGCATGTAGATTTAAGGCGAGCGAGACGCCTGAGATTTATGTTGAGGCAATTCTATTGTGGTATGATTTAGAAAATCGCATGGTTATAGAATTCACTCAAATATAACAATTTATAGACAAATTCTGAAAAATGAAACAAAAGGTTTTGCTACAGATTTTAAGTACTATTTTTGCAAAGAGATAAACCATAAAGCAATGAATGTGAAGTAGCAAACACAGACTAATAAATTTTTAGATATACGGCTCCCGATGTTCATTTTGGCAGCACTGATCTTTGGGAAATTGGAATATTCCATGTTCTGTAAAGGTTTTAGAAATGTCCAAATAGAATCCGATCGGAATTACGAAGGCTGAAAGCTAAAAGCAAATGTCACATGCTACCACCCAAATAGTAGGAAATAGGAGTATTTGTATTACGTATCTGAATACGTTCGGAATGGAGTAGCTGTACTTTCTCACAAGGGTTCTCAAAATGTGTTAATTTAAACGTAATTTTTTTTCGTGGAAACCTTGTAGATATTATTATCAGTGGCAGAATGTAGTAATTTTATCAGCTAGATTTGAAAAGATGAAGATTCTGTGACGTTTAAAATAATAAAGGACATACATTTTGTGTCGGATCAACATTATGCTAAAGCAGGGTTTAGGTCAGTAATTTTTTCTTCCTCTTCTTTTAATAGCTAAATATTGAAAAAATTCACAATAACCACAACATTTTTGTATTAACCCTACATTAATAACCCTATAGAAATTGTTTAACATTTAGTTTACTTGAAGTGATCCCATTTATGTCTTTGGGCTAAATCGAAGTTAAGAGTGAAAAATTATTAATTGCATGTTTGTATTACTATGTGTACAAAAGGTAATGAACAATATGTATAATGCCCGATCAATTTGATTATTTGGATTATTGTAAATTGCTCTCTCTTTCTGGGCATTTTTCATAATGACCGGGCATTATGTATAATGCTCAATTAATCACATGGTCCATAACATAACATACATAAGAGATTTATAACGTAGCAGACATTTACTACTGATTAATGGAAGCTTAAATGGCTGTATGTGGGATATTCCATTTCATAAATTATTATTACGAAATCTGCACACTAATAAAACACTGTTTTTTGGATTTCCTAAACGGGTCATTGCCACTCTCTAAACTAAACTAAAAATCGCCAATTTTTATCCACAATCGTGATATAGTTGGGTCTCACAAACTTCAATTGTTCATCTTTATATGAATCGTTGAACTAATTGCTTCGATGTTCTATTTTTACAGATGCTAATTAACGGCATTGGTTGAATGAATGATAATTATTTTAAACTTTGATATTGACCAGTGTCAGTGGACTTTGGCCACTAGTTCTCCTGGAGAAAGAATAGTACCAGGTATTACCTACTGGATTTCTTGACAGTCATATGGAAAATTAACGTTTGTGTTTAAGGATTTTATTACCAAACGCTTGTAAGTTTTATTTGGAAGTTGAAGATCTTCGTTATACATATGAGATGAGATAAAACACGGTATAGTTATAAAGGGTAAGAGAGACTCAAATAATATTCTCTCTTTCTTTCCAGTGTTTGTCAATGAAGCTTTTAGAAAAAGGTGTTAGAATGTTGCGCAGAGTATGAAACACCAAAATAATGTTGAAATAACATATATAAATTATATTTAAAAAGATGGTTAATAGCTTTGCTATTTACAGTTTTATAGCTTAAAGTAAAGCTTAGTTATACTTCAGCGAAGGAATTATAATAATAAGTAAAACAAAACAACACTCGTGGATGTGTGCTGTTAGCTTGTGGCTATATGTGTGTGCCAATAGGGCGATTTATATGTGCATAAAGCCACGGAAAGCCATATTCGGTTTTTATGTTGTCTGGCGTTTGCGTTTGGCTGACTTACGTTTCATATTATCAAAAAGGTTCTGGTTTAAGGTAAATAAAATACGTCAAGTCAAAGGATAGATTCAATTACATAAAACATCAATGTCGAGCTCCGTGGTGCAGTGGTTAACTCTGGGTTGATATACCGTTGATAAGCAACTTTTGCAAAGGCCGGTCTTAGGATGGGAAATTTATTATCTCGAGCTTCTCTGTGCTTCGGAAGACACGTTAAGCCGTTGGTCTCGGCTGTATCTGCAGTCATTAACTCCCATCAATCAGCACTGGGCCAGCGTAGGGAGTCGTGGCCATTTTTCTCTCTCGATCTGAATCCATTCCATCCATATGAATTGTCCCAGTAGTGGGGACTCTAAGAGGCTGGTGAAGAAGATGATGATACTTGTCAAGTCTCATATTTAATATAAACTCGATTTCGAAAAGAGAAGCTCTACATGGATGCCAAATTCTGTGTTCACTCTGGATATAATTTATTTCCAAGATTAATCTTAGCCATTTGTTTTAGTGTATTTCCTGTTCATACTAGACTTATAGTATGAGGTTGATATTTTTGGTTTGTTAGTCAAAGATATCAATGTCCTATATAGATTTCAGAACACGCTCCTAAACGTTGCATGTCGATATATTCCCGTATCAGTAGATTCTCTTATCGCACACAAAAACAAATATGCACATTATCTATGTGGACTGGAGTTTGATATGGTATGACTAATATTTTTTTTCCATATTCGATCCATTTAGTAATATTCAACCATACCTTTAAAACGTGTGATGATCGTGTGACTCAAAGGAAATAACTAAAGTGGATGCGAAGATTCATTAGTAGTGCTTCATTTATGGAAAAATATATAATTAATGTTTGGATACGTATATTGTTCACGTGAAAAGTTAATATCTATACTACCTAATACGCAGTGGTTGGGAATTAACTACAGTCGACGCATGATAACGGTTGCATGTGCCATTTGCCTCTTAATATTTATAAATGTTAAAAAGCCCCTTTTTCCTTTATGTTATTTATACAATTTTATTTATATCCCGACATTAAAATTAAAATTTGACAAACAATGCCTATTATTTATTACTATCTTAATTTTAAATATTGATTAGTAAAATCGTTTGCTAAATTCCAATGTAATACTTGTGAAATTTCATAATATGATCCAATTTAAATTAGTACTATGAAAATTATCAAAATGGAGCTATTCGTGAAACCTGATTGGTTCTCTGGATAAAGGCTAAAAATCAGCGCTTTGCTCCTTATGCTTTGTAATAATAATGTACGAAAATAAAATTTTCATCACCTTTGAGCATACAAATTTGTATCAATCTATGTCAATATCTGAAATTACATTTTGGACAAAACTATTTAAAACGAAGAAGATGCAACTTAAAATAGAATATATTTGAGTTGGTATTGAACCTACACTTGTAAACCTTTATAATGTTTACCTGACCTATTAATATTTTCGTAAGTGGAACAATAAATAATTTTCAATTATCTATATTTATCATACAATGTGATAATGAGGTTTTTCATATCATAAGCATTTATCGAAAGCATCTGATAAAATAAATTTACCATTGGTATTTTAGTGTCTACGCCGAGTAGTAACAAAGGTGTTAAAATATGTTGTGATTAATTAGAATTTACAATTAAAATGAAGAAATTCTTTAGTGCAAAAATTTTCTTTGGTGTTTTGGTATTAGCTATTTTTTTCTTTGCTTTTATATCAGTCCATGATAATTCAAAATCACATTTCAACCACGATGATATTTTGAATTTGTACATAAATAGAGAAAATGGTCCTATAAAACAAAACAAAAAGCCTATTCAAGAGAATCCTGACATGAAATATATACTCCAGTGGACAGATTCTCAAAGCGTGCCGTTTGTTTATATGGGCAAGGAGCGAGAAGGTTTCACGAGTAGAAATTGTCCTTACACGAATTGTATAGTCACTTCTGACAGAAACCGCCTTGGTGATGTTACGAAATTTGACGTGATCGCCTTCAATGGCAATCAAGTGAGACACTATTCAAGTAATATGTTACCAGCTGCACGTTCGCCACATCAAAAATATGCCTTCTGCACGATAGAATCATCTCATTATTATCCAGTATGTTCCAAGCAGTTCGACAATTTCTTTAACTGGACTTGGTCATTCAGACTAGACTCAGATGTGCGGTGGGGTTACATGTTAATACAAGATAAGAACAATAGTATTATAGGCCCGAACAAGATTATGCATTGGATGAAATTGGAAGATATGGATCCAGTAAGTGAAGAGTTTAAAGAGAAACTGAAGACAAAGAAGAAAGCGGCGGCTTGGTTTGTGTCCAACTGCTACGATAAAGCAAAACGAGGAAATGTTGCAAATAATCTCAAAAAGGAATTAACGAAATATGGTCTAGTTTTAGATATTTATGGAAATTGTGGTCCTTTAAAATGTCCATCAGATGAAGTGAAAGACTGTGAGAAAATGATAGAAAACGATTATTATTTCTATTTATCTTTTGAAAATTCATTCAGTGAAGATTATGTGACTGAAAAATTGCGCACAGCTTTAAATAATAACGCAGTGCCTATTGTCTATGGTGGTGCTAACTATACAAGGTATATATTTTATTTTAAAATGTTGTGATTTTTGTATTTGGAATAAACTCTATAGATAAAATTATCAAAACGGTTGGGCTAGGCAATATTTTTGGTTGCATAGTGCATTATAGATAGCACTTATTTTCGTTAGCACCATAGTTAGGTTTTACTCATTATCATTATTAATTGAATTGAACTTAATAGAGGATTTATTTACTATGCTATAATCAACACCAACTCGAATCGAATAGAAAGAATTAGCGTTGAACCACCACGCGCGTTCAGTGTGGATTAGTAGATGTTAACGACTGTGCAGATGCAGCCGGGAACAGTAGCTTAATATGGCTTAAAAGCACGGAAATGCCTGAGATAATCAATTTATGGTAAAATATCCTCTTATCTATTGTTTATTTTTTAAAGTATTACATCCAAAAAACTGCACCAAAATAACTTCCGCAGTTGAATAAAATATGGAATTTTAATTAGTACATTTCCTTTAAAATTCCAGGTTCATGCCAGATGGAATTTATTTAAACGCTAAGGAAACAAGTGCAGCAGAGCTAGCAGCTAAGATGGATGAGTTGATAAATAATCCGGAAAAGTATGCAAACTACTTTAGATGGAAGAACCACTACTCGTACCACAGCCTCCACGATTATCCAGAAACAGATGAATATTGTCGTATGTGTGCAATTCTTAATGAAGAGAAAAAAGTTAAAAAGATTTCATACATACAAGACTTCCGGAAGTGGTGGAACAATCCTAACTATTGTTAGCTGTAATAATTAAGAACTTCGAATTGTAGACGACGTTAGAGATTAAGAGAAAGAATATTGAAGAATTCTTGCTTCTTGTGATTGTTCTAACTTTAATGATGATCTGGCAACTATCTTTTATCTATAATAGATATTTTCATGAATTTGATAATGTTATTTTGGCAAATTAAAATTCAATTTAAATAAGAACATTTCTGATGAAACAAACACAGGTTTTAGAAGTTTAAACGTAAAATAATGGTACAATTATTTTTCATTATTATTTAAAAAGTTTAACCCGAGTTTTGCCACAGTCTGTAATGCCTGATCGACCATCATTTTATCCGTAACAGAGCAACCAGAGCGACGTGCATTTTAGACATCAAAATTTCTGGACTGAAAACGCTAAAACCAAATTTATGCTACTCTTACAGAAAATGCACTAGGTCCATAAACGTCACAATCTTTTTTCACGGCTTGCGTTATATTTTTACATTTTTGTAATACAATTTTAAAATATACCTAATTAATAAATTACATTCACTTATTTTGACTGTAAAAAAAAATCAAAATCACACATTTTTCAGACTTAATTTCGGAGTTATCTTCTTAAAATTTAAAATTTTTGATGATACCAAACCAGCCAGATATAAATGGCATAGCCAGAAAGATTTTATTACAAGTATATGTATGCGAAAAGACTATTTCCCCAATATGTTCTTTGTGGTTTTAAAGATTTAATATATCAATGAGATTGAAACATAACCTTTCTGGTCCAATGCTACATGTATGACTTAATAACTTAAAACCTCTCAGGGGACATCTTAGATTACAAAAATTGCAGAACAGTTCCCCAATTGCAATTGTTGTTTCTTTCAAATTCGACTTTTGGCGTCGTATTATGTAATTATTTATTTTTATTTCATTCCTTTTAGTGAGCAGTTAATTATGTTTAAGAGTTATATATTTTTATTTATTGTTAACATACCACAAGTTAAATATACACAACGAATAAAAGAGGCTGTTGTTGAGCGAAACAATGGTTCCAAAGTAATCGCGTAGGAACCACCAGGTGTAGACCTTGGTCCTATTAATTAAATTATATTCTTTTTAAATTTAACAGTATTTGTCATCACATTTTAATTTTTATTAAGTATCATTGTATATTAATGTAATCATATTCAGAAACCTCACAAAATCCCCATTTTTACCTTAATGAAGAATGACTCTTTAAAAAACCTGAAAATCATTTATTTTTTATTTCTAACAATAAAGTAAGGAGTCTGTGAACTTCTGTAATTTTCCGATCTACTATTTGAAATTAGGTTTATATGCGAAACCTATACAAAATCTATATAAAATAAAATTCTTGTGCACCAAGAGAGGATTTTTGAAAATTCCACTTTAAAGGGGCTAAATTAAGGGACGAAAGTTTGTATGAAACTTTGTTTCTACAAGTGCTAGGAGTTTCAAATTTTGCACGCAGGTTCTTTTTAGGACGTAGGTGCTCAGTAAGATTTTACGAATTCTATCCTTAAGAGGGTAAATTAGGGGATGAAAGTTCTTATGGTATTTTCTCATTTCAGGACTTAAAACTTGACCACGCGGGCGAAGTTGCGGGTATGGTATAAGCTAGTTAACTTATCAATTTAAATCTATTAAAAAGATCGGTAATAGTATCATGTAATTTGCAAATGAATTAGTTAAAAACACGAATTAGTTACCTTATTTTCCGTTCCGTAGTTTGTAAGTTTAGTAATTCGTCACAGAATTAGTAAAAGTGAAACCAATTAATTTCACTAATATACTTTAAATATCATTTATTTAGTGCTTTAATGTTATTAGCAGAAAATTTTATTAATTATTTTTAAATAATATAAAAAAAATTTTTAAATGAAAGTTTGTTTGATTATATTTGTTTAAATTATTAATTAAAAATATAAAGGCGAAAACCCAAAAGGTATTTTAATCGTAGTGATTACATTATACCTAAAATAGTTCTATTTATTTACATTAAAAATACATATATTTTTAATATTAGCTCATAGGTTAAATTGTGTTATTTTTAGTAGCCAAAAATGTAATGTTAAATAACAGTGTTTAATTTAATAACCTTGTTTCAGCAGGTCAGGCAGTATCAAAACGAGCGAACGAACTGCCTTAAAATAATTCAATATAACGCAGATAATTCACTCGTTTTAAACTGTTCCTGTTGTTAAGAGCGCATCTACACGAACTAAAAAGCGAACTAGTTCGTTTAGGAGCGGCGAATTAAGCCGTTAGATCTCAGTTCTGAACTAACCAGAATTATGCCTATTACGCCCTGGACTAATCGGTCATTAACTAAATACATATATGCTGTGATGCCTATGACGTGCAACGAAAATTACTTTTTTCTACCAACTCCTTTTTAAAAAGTGAAATTTGCAAATTAGTGAAGATAGAGAAGGAATGATTCATTTTATTCTTAGGAATGAAAACAAATGATGGATCTTATGAGTCGTTAAGCCATTTCGTGTAAATAATACATTCTCACGGAACGCGAAACATTTTAATTTTCGACAAAATTGAACTTTATTCTGAATAAAACACCCATAATCGATTATCTTTTAAAGGCACTTATCTATATCTAATTTTTTATGATAAACAAGCGTGATGGTAATGAGCCACTGAATGGCAATGAAATTTGACAAGATGGTAATGAGCTAATTCATGATAGTAATGTAAATATCGAGTATAGTAAAAAAGAGGTAGGAAGGGAATGAATTATTCAAATATAATCAAAAAACTGATGTGTATATTCAAATATAATCAACATAGCACTAACATTTGTATCAAAAGTTTGTCAAAGAAAATCTAAACCAATCTTCAATTATTCAAATCAACAAATATTTATGTTACCTACCTGTACCTGTCGAGTCTTCAAGGTTCTCCGGTACTGCTGTCCGGAGAATCAAAAACCCTGTGAACATAAATATTGCTACGCGTTAGGATTCAGGATAAAAACAATGTCAATTAAATTCACAAACCGATTTTTTTTACCTAATAAAATTACAAAAATAAACCAACAACAAAATACACACTCAACTTCAGTATTTCACTTCACAACACTAGTGGATTGTTCACCACACTAGTTATCGCTCCGAGTAAAGCTCGTATTCCGCTCCTGCTTCCAAGTCGCTTGATTACTGAAGAATGCCGGAACGGGTAGCCCATCGCGTACTTATAGCAGCAGAGGTAGACTCTACCAACATCTAAAATGTTCTAGGTTATGATATAGAACATGGGTTATGTATGACTTAGAACATGGGTGTTGACCTAGAACATTCTAGTAGGTTTGGGCGTTGAATGAACGAACCGTTTTTGTAGACTTTTTAAGGAAGGCCTGAGCCCCTGCACTGGGGACGTAAAAGGGCTGATGATGATATACTAATTCATCCTGTTTGTGATAATTCACACAGCCGCGCTGTGTTCCTATGTCTGCCTACCGCCATACAAGAAGTGTTATCAAAATCAAAATCAAAATCATTTATTCAGTCTAGGCTGTTACAAGCACTTGTGAAAGTCAAGAGCTACGCCAACGGTTCGTAAATCTACGGCGGGAGACCTTGTACCGAGAAGAACCGGCAAGAAACTCGGCAAGGGCTGCTTTTTTCTCCCTGTTTTATTTCATACAGAGCGTCAAGATTGAAAAATGACTTCATTAAAATTTGAAGTCACTTTCCATTACAATATAACACAATATTAAGAGTAAAACAGTATTTTCGTCAATCCAATCACATTTGTAGCCAAAGAAGCTCACCGATTAACAATTTAATATATATGAAAAATGAGCCATATTTAACTCCAAGTAGTTTTGTCGTTTAAATATTCATTAATAGTATAATATCCTTTACTGAGTAGACAATTCTTAACATGGGTTTTAAACTTAGGTAATGGTAAATTTAAAATTTCCATAGGAATTTTGTTATAGTAGTGTACACCTTGACCCATAAATGACGATAGAACCTTCTTTAGCCTGCATGACGGCAAAACAAGTTTATCTTTGTTTCTAGTATTAAAATTGTGTACATGACTATGTTTAATATAATTGTTTATATTGTTTCTAACATAAAGTATACAATTATATATGAATTGGGAGGCCACTGTTAATATCCCAATTTCTTTGAATTTATCTCTAAGTGACGTTCATGAACCAAATTGATAAATGGCCCTTACTGCTCTTTTTTGTAAAATAAATATAGACTCTATATCTGCAGCCATACCCCACATCAGAATGCCATATGACATAACGCTATGGAAATAACTAAAGTATACTGTCCTAGCGGTATCTACATCTGTAAGTTGCCTAATTTTTTTTATTGCAAAGGCAGCTGAACTTAGTTTTCCTGCCAATAATGAAATGTGAGGATGCCATTGCAATTTAGAATCCAGCGTTACACCTAAGAAGATTGTTGAATCAACCAACTCGAGCTTTTCATTATTAAGTTTAATTTCTGTAAGTTCAGCTTTTACATTAGGTAACATAAACTTTATACATTTCGTTTTTTTAGCATTTAACTGGAGATTATTTACAGTAAACCAGGTCATAATCTGTGATAGAGCATTGTTTACATCGTCAAAATTATTTTTACATCTATCAATATTAAATATTAAAGAATTATCATCTGCAAACAATACTATATCGCATAAAGTTTCGGCAAAAAATGGCAAATCATTTATGTAAGTTAGAAACAGAAAGGGACCCAGAATAGATCCCTGGGGAACTCCCATTTACTTGTGATCCAGATGATCTCACACCGTTAATATCGATAGTTTGAGTTCTGCAACTGAGGTACGACAATATTAGTTGTAGGGCGGAATCTTTGATACCATAGTAATTTAGCTTCGTTACTAGTGTTCGATGCTCAACGCAATCAAATGCTTTGGATAAGTCACAAAATACTCCAAGAGCATTCTGTGACGCCTCCCAAGCTCTGAATATATGTTTAAGAAGTGCTATACCAGCATCAGCAGTAGAGCGACCTTTTGTGAAACCATATTGTTTAGTATGCAGTAATTTATTTAAATTAAAATAAGACAATAACTGTTCAAGAATTATTTTTTCAAAGATTTTACTTAACGTCGGTAATATTGATATAGGTCTATAATTACTATGGTCTTCCCT